AAAATTTTCATCGGCAGGCGAAATTTCAGTGTAACATCAAATTTTTTTTTGTTTGTATTTGTTCGTTTCGAAAAAAGTCGTTGTATTGAGATTTCTGATATTCCCCATCCAAATTATAAACCAGCACTTCCAAAGGAATCGTTATGTCAGCCATCTGGGAGAAAATATGTGAAGTTTTCTCGACGCTTGTTCGGCCGTCCCGTCGCAAAACGCGCGTCTCGTTCAGCCCCAGCACATTGCATCGCGAAATTATACGTCACACGAAACTTTCGGCCTCACCAAATCCATTCTTTAATTTTCTTGCCGAAGTACGCATGAAGGCCAGTGGTGGGGAACTCACACGGCCAGGCTGTGGTCCGATGTCACCACGCGAGAGTACACGCCTCGCAAAAACGGCAGGGCGCTTATGGAATGCAATGTCAGATGAACAAAAGCAGCCCTATAGGAGTATTGCACTGGAGCAGCGTAAACTGAAGCGGTTGCGTGGTCGACGGCGGCGTTCTAATTTATATGCGCGCAGGCGTAGAAAACGCAGGAGTCCGGTACAGTGCGACTTTTTGTTGCCACCACAAAATCGAACCAAATCGCAAAAGGATACAACGCGGTCATCAAATACGTCAATAAGTAGTAGCACCTGTGATGGCGATGGCAATGCTGCAGACACCGGCAGTGTTTGTTCGGATGGAGGGGAGAGCAAAATTTTGTGCTAAATTTATGTTTGTTATTGTACACTCTTTGTCAATGAATTGGTTGCATTTGGTGTGTTCATATGTGCGTCTCTATATTTGCTATTGTGCTTATTATACTTCACAATGTTTTGTATTTTAATCAATGTAAGCGAAATTTTTGTTTTAAAAAATTTCAATAAAATTATATTTAAGTGAAAAGTGGTGATTTTTAATGCAATTTTAGGCTTTATCTACGTTTTTATTTCCTATTATATTCCTATAATCGAAATACTTTCTTACAGCAATCCTGGCTATCCAAATGGCGGCGGCGGTGGTGGTGGTGCCGGCCCTGGCGGCGGCGCAGCCAGCAATGGCGGCGTTTCAACTATTGAGAGTTCTAAGCGTGGTCATCCGTTGAAAAGTTTCAGTGTGCCAGGGCCACCGCCAACTGGAGGGGTAACACCTGTCAACAAGCACAGTAAGTAGTGACAAACGAACTATAAAGCGGTGTTCATTTATAATTTGAAAATGCCAGTATAGCACATTTTTTGCTTTGTAACTATTTACCTCCTATTCGGACCATATTGCCTTATGCATATATGTAATACTTCTATATTGGCAGTAAGCTAACTTCTCAATGTGTAAGCATTCCGAAATCAAAGCGAGACAGTCTAGTACCGTTTTTGTCCATGGATTGTGTACTTGAGTGCCGTTTTTGTATATGTGTTGTGTACATGTTTATTTATAAACGTATGTGTTCCTTTTCTTTCGTACGTGTTTATTGATATACCTGTACTGTAGTGTTTTCGGACGGTACTAGCTCTTACTGCCAATATAGGAGTATTACATATATGGCCTTATGTTTGAATTTTTCTATCCAAGGTTCCTTGCATGGTAAAAGACTCAGGGTTCTCAGTGGTCCCAATAAAACTGGGTATCTATGCGTCAACTTCACCACGTATTCACCTTTTTCCGAGAACGGGCAAACCCTTCAGACATTTTTTTTCGCGCTACTTTTGCGCAATCAATGCAACGTGATTTTCTTATTGGAACCAAACGCAAAGGCTTCCAGTTAAGTAGCATAACATCATGCTGAGCAAGCCTTTCTTGCTACGATGCAACCGGAGGGAGCAATACTGCAAGCACTTGCTTGAAGTCGAACCTCCTTCCAGACACATACATAAATCTTGCTATCCAACATACCCAACTTATATCCAACACATCTAATATCCCACTCCCTTCGGTTCAATACCATCGAAACTGCCCGGTTCCTGGACCTATCGTTAATTTAAATCAACGGAAATACTTAATGAATTTTTCTGCGATCTGTCAATAGGCTACAAGTTCGTGAATTTCGACCAAAATTAAAAATGTGATTGTCGAACTACTAAACTATCCAGTAGATTCTCCCGATTTCCATATTTCAAATGTGAAAAATGGCTCGGCGATAAGAGATTCGGGTCGAATGATGAGGTCAACGCCCCATAGTGTTTTACTTTGGAAAAAAGGACAAAATCAAATATCCGGAGAAAGAGATGAGATAGCTAAATAAATGTTACGTTGTTTTAAAACTTTTGAGATGAATCAAATAATTACCTTCATCTTTAAAATGGCCTTCGAAAATAGGTTTTAAATTATATTTTACCTGAAACCAGTATGCCAGGGCGAGTTCATACAAGGTGATAGCTGCAGTACAAAAACAAAAAACTACAACAATAAATTATTCGCGCGATGACAGTCAGAACACATAATTTTGACAATCAACGCAAATTCACCTTGAAGTCTGTTTCTCAGGTAACACCACCCTGTATGAATTCGCCTTGCAGTATGCAATGCAACTTTTTAAAAGTTTTAAACATATTTTTGCTGTTGCTTGCGTTCAAAAGAGACAAAAAATTTCTTTTTGAAGGTCATTTTAAATGACTGATTAAATGAATTATCTTGACCTCAAAATCGACCTTCAAAAGTAAAAATTTGAAGTTTTTATTTTAAGACATAGACCCAAAAACCGCATACAATGTGCTTAAAAAAAAAAACATTTTAAATGTGTTTTTTTGTTTTTGCGACCGTGAAAATAGTTTCCTTGAGCTACAAAAACATGTCTATGAAACTTATTAAAAAGTTCATCGCATATTGGCTTGAAGCAAAAAAAAAGAAAAAAAATAATAAAACCTTATATTTTCGAATATTATTTTAAAAGTCGTTCTTTTAACCAACACGAATAATTTTGCCGAAATTATCCAGCTCAAAATTTTTAAAACACCATTGCAACTATTTCGGTATGTCTCCTTGTTTTCGAGATATTTGATTTTGTCTCATTTTCCCAAAATAAAACACTGTGCGTCTGTGATGAGGGCCTTAAGGAAATTTATTACCCATATTTGTAAAAGATAAAAAAAAAATGGAAAACCTTTAGACTAAACGTACCGAGCAAAAAGAAAGGCGGAAAGTTATCAATTGATCGGATTTTGTTTATGTACGTTTCCGGATAAGTTTAGACCACGTGAACCGTTTTCGACAATTATTTTTTTTTTTTATAGGAAAGGTGGTACTTTAAGGGTGGCCCAAACATGCTTAATTGAAGTCCGTTGTATTTTTTGCTTAAAAATTACTTCTTACCTATTCTCATTCGTATATCTTAAACAACACCCACTTTTTATCTTGCAGCACCGGCAGTCACAATACGTCCACAAAATCAATCGCCCTACAAGAAACCCTCCTTCTCTGCTGCCACGCCCACAAATCGCTTGCAAGGCGGCTCGTCAGTGGCACACTCCAACGATGAAATACAACGATTGGCGCCAAGCACTTCAACGGAAGAACTCAATCAGGAAATGGCCAACCTCGAGGGACTTATGAAAGATTTGAGTGCAATAACGGCAAACGAATTCGAAGTTTAGCAGTAAATAGAATTAAGTGGACAAATGAATGCAATGAACGAAATTATTAAAAAAAAAAACTTCGAAAACGTGCAACACACAAATGGGAAAATTTTGTCAACCTTAATGTTGGGCGACGATGAAGTGTAAATTTTGCTGAAAGGTTTGCAGTAACGACAAAAACCTCGATAAGCTTAGCGAATCAAAAACAATTTAAGAAAATATGAACTTATGCCGGATTGCCACTGGGGCAGTGAAAATACATTGAAATAACAAACAAAAATGGTTAATTCACAAAAAATGCCATGTGGAAACAGGCTTAGTGCCGTGTAGTATAATAACTTGAAGGTGTAAAGGCATTGGTATTTTTTATGCACAACTTTGTTATTAAATATTTTTGTCATTTTATGCCCAGTGGAAATCCGGTGTTATGTATGTATATCTACATATATATTTTTTAAGGTTTATATTTAGAAATTTAGCATATTTTTCGATAATCGTGCGCTTCAGTGTAATTAATGACATTTCGGCTGCTAATTTATTTTTTGCCATTATGTATTAGTATTTAAAGTTTAAGATCTTAGCATATTTAAAATTAATCAACAATTTCGTGTAAGTTTAAATGGACTTTCTTTACAAAGGTTGATGATGTAGGTGGAACAGATTTGGGCATGAGATTGAAAAAAGTGCTTTTATTTTATAAATGTTCTTTTTGCAAAAAAAAGTGTGACATGTACATAACCGTTATGTGTAAGATTTTCACAGTATATATATATATATATATGTATGTGTATGTATTTGAACGACGAATGTATACTGTTTAAGCATTTAAAGTGAAGTAATTAATTAAAGTTTGAGAGTAACTCAAAAATAACTTTGACTATTACAAATAACGAAATCGAAAACGAAATTGAAACAACTAAGGACCGGTTCCTCATTTTTTTTTTTTTCAGAAAAAAATTTGTGTTTAAAAGGCAAATAAATTTTAAAACCTACATGAGAAAACGGCGCTGAATCGGTTTAAATTAAATATCTCTAAAATGTTCAAAAATTACAAATTGTTAAACTACAAGTAGCAGTCACGGCACGCAGTAGAACCATTAACATTTTTGTATGGGTATGAGTATCTTTCTGACCTGTGGCAGGGCTGTCCAGCTCTCGTGTTCTTTTCTCACCATCTTCACATGCATATTGCGTGCTCTTTCTTTAAAATGTTGCGCTCTGATAAAGCTGCCATATAAGAAGGTGGCATTTTTTCGAGAAAAAAAAACGCCATAAGTTTTCATTAGCAGAAGGAGCCGAATTTGCTATCGACTAAGGTCTGTCATTGAAAATGCTTTTACGAAAAGTTTAATCTGCTAGATGCGAGTGACTGTTTATGCCTGTATATACTTAACTACTTGATACTTTTTTATATGTATTTGCACTTCATATTTATTAAAACATGCACAATTGAAACTCCTTGCCGCTATATACAAATACTTGCTATTAAAATTATCAGATGTAAAATATGAATAAAATAATATTAAAAAAGATACCCATCATTTATAGTATAAATAAATTTTATGCCAAAACCTATATCCCTTTCATTTAAAAGGTTTCTTTCATTTGTGTTTATATTCGCATGTGCCAGCTTTTCATTTTCCAACTTGAAAAGTCAATTTACAATTTTGCTTTTAAATGCAGTTGTAAACTCTACACCCATATATTTTAGAATTAGGTCTTTTATTTTTTTCAAAAACAAAAGTGCCATTTCATATCTCACTTAACACTTTACTTTATTCAGTAATCTGCTAGCGATTCCTTCAACATCTCAAATCACTTAAAGCAAAAAAATATTACTATTGTCTTATTTAACCCTAAGTTACACTCTTTTTAAGTTAAGTGGAAAACTAAATTCAAAAAAAAAAATATATACAAAAGTAACTACATACTTCCTTGTTTAAATGATCACTTCGTCATTGATTTTATTACTTCACTGAGGAGCGCAAGGCTGATTAATGCATTTGAAGTAAATGATCTTTCGGTATAAGAAGCGAATCTTTTTAAATCAAAAAAGTTTTGAAAACTTAGAACTGCCTACAAAACTACTTACAGCAATTCAGTTAAAAAATAAATAAAAAATTTACTTAAAATGAATGCAAACAAAAATGAACATAAAAAGATAATTAGTTTTAATTTTCGTAAATAAGATCCTGGAAACCACATACTTTTTATTTATTTAAAAGGATAAATGTTGGGCTTATGAAATGGCAGATGTTTAACAATTTTATTTAAGCAACTAACAATGTATTTGAATGCCATTATTATACGCAAGTACAGTGGCGGGAAAACAAATAGGGAGGCGACATTTTTAAAAATTAACTTTTTGGCAGTTTATATGGAGGAAAATGCACACAGTGAGCAAAAAAATTGTCAAAAGCAAAGAAAATTCCAAGCTTCTTCGAGTTTGCACTTTATTATACTAAAATTTAATGGGCTACAAAAGTCAATAAAAAATTTAACATTTTGATGAACGTTTGTTGAAATTCGTAAACTTTTTCTAATTTTTGTATTTACAACTTTTGAAGTTTTGAATCACATGATTTTTGTTTGATAGTGAGCTATACTTTTATGAAAAAAATAATAAACATTAAATAAAGAAAAGACAAATAGGCAAAACTCTTAAAAATATTGCGTCCCTATTTGTTTGCCCGCCGCCGTAAATATGTACATACATATCGTCATCATCACTGCCAAAATGCCATATTTGACAAACTTGAAAATTTCAAGGAAGAGTAAAAAAATGCCTTTACAAATTTACAAATATTGCATCTGAGAGCAAACTAAAGGAAAAGAATGCGCCAAATATTTGCCTTTTTGCATTGACGATGACGGTTGTGTATGTAAAAGCAAATTACAAAAAACAAAACTAAAAAATTACAGCAGTTAATATGCATAATGTATAAATCGCACATATATAAGTATGTACATACATAAATCATTTGTAAAAACAGCATAACTCGTAGAATACATACGAACGGCTTAGTTTTAACTATACATACATATTTGCATACCTACATTGTACTAATATTTTTTACAAAGCCAGACTAACGTATTTACATAAATAAAAAATAAGAACAAAAGTAGGTATAAATACGCCACGACGCAAGGAAATGTGCATTAATCAAAAATAATGTTTAAAAACTTGAAATTCATCAAAAGTCCTATTAAGTTAAAATGTCTATTAAATTAAAAACATAGTTTTTTCCTGTAATTCCTTAGCCATATTTACTCGAATACAATTTTTAGTTCGGCATAATTTATGTGAAATTTTTTCTTCAAATCACATGGCAAATCATGAATGTTGCATTGCCTCTACTTATATATATACATACATTTACTACATAAGGCTCATCTATAATCTATAAAAGTAAAAACAAAATAACTTTGCTTCATTTAAAAAATATTAATTATTCTACGTAGTCTAGGCTAAAATAGGCTTAATTAAAACAAATAAGCGTAATATAAAGACTTGTGTTAATATTATTACCAAAACAAAAATAAAACCAATTAAAAACACATTTATTATATGAAATTCTAATTGAGCATACAAATTTAAGAAAAATTGTCTCTACTTATGTAAGTATATACATACATACATTGTAATTACTTAATAAAGCCAATTTAAAATTATACTTATTCAGAGTATATGCAAGAAATGGTGAAATAAATGTGAAAGAAGTTAAAATGAAGTACTATGTATAATAAATATATAATTTATACACTCAAAATTTAAACACTTTTTTAATTGCTTAATGGGAATATTCAACAAGCGACCGTTGCGGTGGGGAATATTCAACAAGCGAACATTGTGGTGTCAAAAATAAGAGAAGCTCAGCCAAACCCACCACTGTGAAAAAGGCACTTAAACATTTTTCTAAAAATTCCTATTAAAAAGTTTGCAATTTAGATAAACCTTTGCAGAATTTATATAATTTTTGCATAAAGTTCGGAAATTGGATTTATATGGTTTTTGTTAGATGAGCTATACTCAAAAAAAAAAAAATAAAAAACATTAAATAAACAAAAGAAAAATAGCCGAAAAATTTTAAAATGTCGGGTCCCTATTTATTTTTCCACAACTATACATGTGGATATTTGAATTTGATCTCAATGAGCCTCGACGCACTAGACTTTTCAGACCATCTGACCAGACTAGGCGACTGAACCGAACTGTACCGATTTTGAAAGCGGTTTGCAGCTCTGTATATAACATCAGACGAAAGATGTTTATGAACATTTTAGTTTGAATATATTTTAATAGGGTGTTGCCACCTATTTGAAAAGTCGAATGTAGTTAGATTATACGAAAGATATTAATAAAAAATATGATTTTCAAACAGAAAAGTTTTAAGAAACATATATTAGTTGCATTCCTTATCTCCCAGAAATAGTCCGAAGTAAATAGTCAGATTTAGTCCAAAAAGCGTTTATTAACTTGAGAATGACAGCAGAAAAGAGAGAGAGAGCAACTGTGACTCTCTTCAGTGTGAAGTTACAAGATTTAGTCAGAAGAACTTTTGATGGCTAAATCTTTTGAAAAGTGTCAAACTGAACTGAATTTGAATTAACGGAAATTAAAGAATAACAGAAAAGTGAGAATAATCTAAAAACTAAAAAAGTGAATTGAAAATGGAAGTGGGCAAAAAATAATTGATATTGTAAGTGTTTATTGTGCCTGTGCTTGTATTAATGTGTTTTGTAAATACATTTATATTTTTATTTGACATTCGTTTTGTTGTTGCCAGTCTTTGGACTAAAAATTTGTTTTTTTTTTCGTTCAGAATTTATTGGAATTCACAGTTTACTTTTCGGGAGCCTTTAGGTGTTTGGATCAGGATTTTTTGGGTTCTTTCGAAATTTTTCGGGAAATTTTGGGTAACTTTGCTTGTTTCTTTCTCAATATTATCAAATTGACACTTCCAATTTGAATTAAAAGCGGATTTGAATGAAATTCACTCGGAGGAGAATCCCAGAACCTGTCTGAATGGTTTTTATTATAAATATTATGTTTTTATTATAAAATGCATAGACAGGTATGGTTCGTTATGTATCATTTCACCTTGAATACTTATAATTTTAAGCGAGTAAAATTTAGCGAACAATTTTGACACAGAACACTCGGACAAGCTTCACATATTTGCACTGTAATAAATGACAGTCGACATATTCTTGTGAATTCGTTGTCCAGAACATTCCATTTCAGTCGGAGTGAAACGCAGAA